ATGTTCTTTCGAAGAACTTGAACACTGAAAATTTGGCTGGTATTGAAATTTTAATTTGAGTGTAAAATAGGTCTTACTTAAAACTGTTTGCTCAACGTTGTTGCATACCAGTCAGTGCTTTCTCGCTTCACTTCGGGACTTTTTGCGATATCGGTTTCTCGGGTGAAATTTAACGTGGAAATCGCGAGTCAGGTAATCAATCTTCTTTACTGAAAATTGTCAATCATCTGCCCTTTTCAAACGTGACTTGTGCAAATGCTGACCATTAAAATATAGCGCGATAGCTCAGTAGAAAGTATTGGAAACAAATAGCGTCAGGAGGGATAAATATCTAAATTCGGAATATTTCTCAATAACTGAAGACACACACTAAAAAGCCGCCTCTCTTGAAGAGAAGTTGCCTCAAGTAGAACAATTGCCTTGCAAATAAAGTTGCCGAGCAACATAAGGCTTAGCCTGAACAGAACACTGTTTCAATGCAATCGAAAAACATGAGTTAAATGTCAATATGTTGAAATTTGTTGAAATTAAACGGCGTTTTTTATTTATTAGTTGAGACTAACTACAAAGATTATTATTCCTCATCATACGCAAATATTCCTAGTGCAAAAGATCAAAACTGATTAACAATAAGCTGATTAGAAGTTTTTGGATTTAAGCGTATTGTTCCCCTTTTGAATAATTAAAATATCCCCGGCGGGCTCTCATTGTGAAAATATTTACACCTTCTGCGGCTTGTAACGTGTTGCGTGACTCACTTTTAAATATTAATTTGATATTTGAGGCACTTTGTATTTTTACCATCTCAAACGTTCCGTCAGTTTTTCAAAAGATCTGTTGCAATCTCAAAATGTCTGTAAGTTGAAGAACATTTGAAGGGTCAAGCATCGGTCATTTGCTTTTCCCTGATCTGTTCATTCGGTCATTCACCCACTCACTCGCTTAATTTACTTGTCTTAACCTCTCTCGTTATTTCATTTCAGCGGTTTTCGACTCCTCCAACCATTTTTGTAACTGCTAGTCACCAAGTTCCCAAGAGACCTCAAGATGCCATGGCCGTGTGGTTGGAGGAGTTGCGCGTGGACAATGTCAAATTTGTCTCAGAGAAGCAAAGATTTTCGATGGACCCCATAAAGGGATAAAGATAGTGAGCAAATTTAAACTTCGTCTTCTGTCAGTTGTCATTCTAATCGACTAAGCTTTGCCAAAGATATGCACTTATCAAAGTTGAATGAAAATCATGATGACCCCTGACTAAAGAGCAGCATTCTAAAATATTTACATGCGTTACAATGTTCCAAATATATCAGAGGTCAACTTCCCATGTGACCTGCCTAACCATCGTGCATTTTGAAGCTGTTCCAGATGAGTCTTTTTTGTACCGGTATTAAACATCAAATGGTGGCTTCCAAAACAAAATATTTAAAAGAAAATATATTTCTGGTAGCTCTCATGATAAACTCCAAGCTACTTATAGAAACCATGTGGTAGAAACCGTTTTAAAATAGGCCCAATTAATCTTCGAGCAGCTAAATGGATACCCAAAGAGAGCCTCTTTTATACTTTTTTTTTTTTTTGAAAAAAAGAGCCAGTAATATGGTAAATGATATCTGTTTGCTCTAGCTTTGTAAAATATCTTTTGATTTCAAATGAATACGTCGTGAAAAGCTGAAAGTCTGATTTGTACGCGGCGTATAAAAACGCTAAGTCCTACTACATCTTTGCGTATCTTGCTGAAAATTACTCTTATGCGTTGGTTAAAACAATCCTCAGTTAACAGGTCTGAAATGAAATCGCATATTTTTATTTCTTTAATAATTGTCAGGTTTTATCTACAATTTCTGTCTTTTTTTTTTTTCCTGCAGAACTGGATGGCATTTACAAATCTGAGTGTTAACAATTTTACCATTACCGAGAGTCTCGTGTTTACCAATACAAACTCACCATCTGATCAGGATAATTACGCTTTCTGTCAAGTAAGAATAATTATTGCCAGCCCGCGGCATTATTGTTTCTTATCTAAATCCTCTT